TCCCTCTCTCTTTCTTTCTTTCTTTCTGTCGGTTTGCAGTTTCAATACGGTCGCGAGGCCGCCGCACCTCGAGTTGGACTTCAGTGTACCACAGGCAAGTTGTGAGGTCGTCCTTCCGGTCTTAGTAGGTGGACTGGTTGATGTAAGTGGAAGGTCGACTACCTCGACTCGGTACTGGACAGCTTCAGCTTCGGGTACTTGCTTTTTCGCGCTGTACTTAATGCTTGTGCAAGCCCGGAGAATACTGACTGCGGATCCATTGCTGTGTATTCTTGCGCAATCGACTGGGTCTCGACGTCGGAGTCCTAAGGCCCTGCCGTCGCTCCTCTTGTCAGTCTTGCTGGCTCCGTAACGCTGCTACGCTTCTTGGCGCAGGCCCGCGCACACGAGGCAGCACGGCCTCTCAGCTCGTTTCGTGCTCTTGCTCGCATTGTGTCCTCCCAACTTGTTTTTCTGTCGTCGATGCGGCAGTCATCCGCCTCGTCGTCTTGCTTTCCAGAACCGAGCGGAATCGTCTTGTACGCGTGATGAATGGAAACTCGGCGCGCCTCGGCTTCGGTAGTCTATATAAGTTTATAATGAACGCTTTGGCCTGCTAGCGGCAAGAGCATTTGTCCTTATGCTGCGGGAAGGGCCCAGTCTTAGTTGGGCAGCTGGCAAAGTGTGAGGTGCAGTTTGTCGTGCAGTGTGGTCGCTGTGCATGCTTGCTCACTGACAGAGCGGGCAGCTGTCGCGTGCAAGTAGACCACCGCCCGACCCATAATTTGTGTATCTTTGCAGTGTAAACGTTGTATACTTGATAGCTGATAGAGACACTATAAGTTTGTGACGCCAACATCCACTCATACTTTGTGTGTCATTGTAGTGTAAACTTCGTGATCGCGGGGTGACAACAACCCTCAATTTACTGAACCCTCGCGGGGTGACAACCACCTCAATTTACTTGAACCCTCGCGGGGTGACAACAACCTCAATTTACTTAAACCTTCACGGGGTGACAACAACCTCAATTTACTTAAACCCTCGCGGGGTGACAACAACCTCAATTTACTGAAACCCTCGCGCGGTGACAACAACCTCACTTTACTTAAACCCTCTCGGGGTGACAACAACCTCAATTTACTTGAACCCTCGCGGGGTGACAACTCCAAAGCCTGCCCTTGCCTTGCGCGAGGCTGAATAGCCTCGGGGGACGGCTTCCCGAAGTGGCGGAGGGCCAGGCCATGTGCGCAGCCGGCAAATTGGACGGATTCAGACGGGATGAGGCTGCGGGAGCCTATTATGCCTTGTGATCTGCAATACGCAGCACTGTTAGTGTGGTACACGTAGAGCCAATGGGAAAGGCGAAGGGAGAGAAAGATGGGGACTGCAGATCATCATTGTGAACTTCTGCGGCATGTTCTCCCTGTAGCGAGGTTGCTGCGGGGTCGGACACTGACGACAGCAATGGCGGCGACACCTCCAGCAGCAGCGGTTTCAGAAGCTTCACAGCGTTCCCACCCACCGAGTCATTTCGAAACCAGTCCAGCCCCAGCCCAGCCCCGGCCCGCCAAATTCAACACATGGTTCCAAACAAACTTTCGTTCAAAATTTCGGTCAAAACTTTCGGTCAAAACTTTCGGTCAAAACGTTATTGGCACCCAAACCCTTCACAATTTCTATAAACCCAACACCCTAGACCCTAAACCCTAAACCCTAAACCTTAACCCCTAAACCCTAAACCCTAATCCCAGGGGTGTGACCTTCCATTTGATTTTGTCTGCCTTCCCCCGAAGCTGTAGTCTCATGTAAACCTCCACAGCAAGCCCCGGCTTAGGGTTTAGGGTTTAGGGTTTGGGGTTTCGGGTTTAAGCCCAAAATATGTGGACAATTCTCAAAAATGGTCAGGTTCCCCGGTATATACCCGTTTGATCCCTTTTGCCACTTTTCTTTTGGGGTTCCCTTATTCTAACCAAATAGTAGGAACAAGGGTACCCTCATTTTGTTTGGGGGGATATTGGGGAGCCTAGATTAAGATACTCAGATCCCAGCCACCCCTCCACCCGACCTGAGCTCCAGACCGTCTGTCCCAAACGGAAGTAGGGGTAGACATAGACGAAGAAGCCTTTAGGGTTTAGGGTTCAGGGTTTAGGGCCATACAAAACCTCCAATCAAGGCCTTATAGACCCTGTTCGGGAAGCCATGTTAGAACCGTCGCGATCGTGAACCACTTGATTGATAAAGCCTCAGGAAAGCTTTGCTAAAGCCTGTATACCACTCCCTGTACGGAACCCTGCACACAGCCTTCGAAGACCCTGCCCTAGGACGGACAAAGATGGGCGCGTCAGCGTCCAAGTGCCACTCTTCACGCCCTTGACGCTCAAGGCCCTCCACCTTCTGCGGCCGCTTTTCTCCTTCTTGGGTTGGGGTTTAGGGTTTATGCTGTGGGGTTTAGGCTTTTTGGGTTCTGGGTTTAGGTTTTAAGTTTCATTATATTTCAGTAATGGGCTTCAACACGCTGACTGGTCTCTTTTTATCTTCTTCACGGATGCAGGGTGTACCAGCCGCCAGTTTTGCCATGACGTTGCCGTAGAAGTAGTCTGATGGTGTTAGCATCTTTATCGTAGTTGCTCGCGGAAGAAGGTGTGGGTTGCAACAATGATTACGGGTTTAGGTTTAGGGTTTAGGGGTTAAGGGATTAGGGTTTAGGGGCTTAGGGTTCAGGGTTCAGGGTTCAGGGTTAAGGGGTTTACGGACTAATGTAGGCCCCGAGCAGTTGGTGAACACATCCTTTACACGCCTCTGTGCTTGTACTATACTGATATAGTTACAACATGATGGACCCCATAGTTAACCCCATTCTAATAATTACGGCCCCTATGTTAGCCACTGTTAGCTAAACCGAGACGAGACGTGCGCTGCATCGGCATGGTAACAGTAGCAGCAACGAGGGCAAGGCTAAATCCCAAACTTAGTTGCCTCAAGCACCAAGTAGTCCCCTAAACCATAAACACTAAGCCCAAACCCCAAACCCGAAACCTTAAACCCCAAGCTCTAAACCCTGAATTTTGAACCCTGAAGCCGGAGTTTTGATTATAGATTTGTTCCAGCCCACGGCTTTTCCCATGTCGAAGACGCTGTCAACAACATGAAAATTGCCGTCGGATCGTCTTAGCATAATCACCAGCCAAAACAGGCAAATAAAAGGGTCCTTAATCATTTGGCGACCCCTCATCATAATTTTAGGATAATATGCCCCAAAACCCTACTGTAATTATTAAGGCCCCTACATTACGATCCGAATGACACCTAATTATGCCATTCCGATGCTGGCGAAAGCGGAGCTGTCCAGTGGCAGGAGCAGCCAGGGCAGTCTCGCAGATCGTTTTTTGCAGATGAGATGCTGATGGTAATGGGTTTAGGGTTTAGTGTTTAGGGGTTTAGGGTTTAGGGTTTAGGGGTTTAAGGTTTAGGGTTTAGGGTTTAGGGTCTAGTCCAACAGCCAGAGCAAGAGACAAGGGAGTGCGGTTGTAGTGGCATCGGTAAGGATCTTTGGTTAGGTACACTGCTGAATATATTAACCTGACAACTAACCATGACACTGGGCATAGGCGGTGTTTCGGCGACGGGCAGAAATGCTAGACAAAAATGAATAACGATAGAGGAATTAGAGTGGCCATCGTCTTCGTCGACGACGTTGTCGTCGCAGTCGCCCTTCTCATCATCACCACAGCAACCCTAAACCCTAAACCTTAAACCCCTCACGATCACCACCGTCGTTGCCATGGTATAGTTGACCACGGCCATGCCCTCATCCCAACCCACTACAAGCACATTCCTTACAGCCTGAACCCTTCAAAACCCGGAGCCCTAAACCCTCAAATCTGAAGCCCCAGACCCTAAATCCCCAAACCCCTTAAACAGGGTGTAGGGTTTAGGGTTTAGGGTCCTAAACCCTAAGCCTTAAATCTCAAAGCCCCTAATCCCCTAGACCTTAAACCCCCCCAGCCCTAAATCCTGGCAGACCTATGACCCTAAACCCCACATGGGGGTTTCCGAAAATAGGGGACCCTAATATAGTACCCCCAAAATAGTAGGATCCGTATTATAAGGACCCCCAAATAAGGTACCCTAATTTCGGAACCTCCAACATGAAAATCCCAGTGGAGAGGCGGGGCGGCCTTCTCTCATGGACTTCCAAGAGAAGTTGTTGGAGATCGCCCGGGGGCCTTCTTTTTGGGGATGCCGGGTTCCTCCAAGGGTTTAGGGTTTAGGGTTTAGGGTTCTACGAGGGTTTTCCACTAGGGGATCGATAAGAGGTTTGGGGTTTCCAGTGTTCCTTTCTAGGTTTGCTTTTTGGGTGCCTCTATATTGGAAGAAAAAGCCCAAAACCCCTAAATCCCTACACCCCTGAATCCCTAAACCCTGAAACCCTAAACCCCTAAATCCCTAACCCCCTGAACCCTCAACCCTGAACCCCTAAACCCTGAAATCACTAACCCCCCTGAACC